CCTGCCTGCCTTTCAGCAGCCTTTTCTTTGGTAGTTGATATTTGTAATTCTTCCACCCCCGCCGCCCTTTTTTTTTTATTTTCTCCTCTTGTAGGTGTAGTGGTTTCTGGCTGGGAGCAGGGGAAGGCAGGGGAGCCATGCTTCGTTCCTTCAGTTACCTGACTGATCACGTCGGCTTCTGTGGTACTATCAAAAACTCACCGAGTGACTTCGTAGTGACAGAAATCGAGGTGCCTGAACACTTGCTTAGGGATACCCGGGCTGAATCGCTTCAGAAAACCACCGAAGCCCCCAAAAAGCTGAGAACGGAGCCTCCTGGTCAGTGCGCCGAGGGCTGTGGTGGTGATGTGCCCAGTCTTTCGGAGCATGACCCACGCTGCGCAGGAGACGACTGTTCTGCATCCCCTAACAAAAAACAGCGTGAGGGTGAACCTGAACTGAACTCTTGCCTCGAGGAAGCCAGTATATTGGATTCCTTACTAGGCAAACCCATGAGTGAACTGCTTAATAAATTTGCTTGTGATCTGAAGGATTCATGGGACTTGGAAAATAGTGCCGGTTCTAGCACTGGGGAGTTCCTGCTTGGACCTATACTGGACAAGAAAACTCGAGCTGATTTACACAGTGCTATTAGGCAGAAATTCCCCTTTCTAGTCACTGTTACAAAAGACAATGAAATGATTGTAAAAGGAAATGCTGATTACAAAGAACTTTGTCAGTTAGTGACTGAAAAGGAAACAAGTGATTTCTTTAAATTTTTAGATGCAAAGCTAGAAAATGCTACATTTTCTTTCGAGCCTGATGGAAACAAAGAGCACAGAAAAGTAGTTCACCACTTTATCAATAGAAAATTTGGAAAACTTTTAGAAACAAAATCTTTTACTGTGACAGATGTCAATGATCAGCCAAATATGTCAATAACGGTACGATTTCGAGAAAAAAGTTGGTCCAGAAAAAGGTCTGCTGATGGTTTCCAGGAAAAACAAGATCTTTATACAGGTAAATATTACATTTTTAGTGAAAGTGTCAGGTATTATGGTGTTCTTCAGTAAGACTGAGTCTCAGAATATTTTTTGTATGATATATAGGCCTGCTTGACCCATTGTTTATGCTGAAATAAATTATTATTAAAGCAGTGTAGTTACATCGCTGGAGAATGAGATGGGTTAATCAAAGTTACTGCAGTGATTTTACATAAACTGTTCAGTGATAATGGTTACTGTTCTTTTGGCTGTAGCTCTGTGTTATTCCCTGTGTGCTAGCTTTCCCTTGAAAGTAATTGGGGAGGGGGTTAGAAAATGCATCTAGATGTTGGACAAGTTACTAAGGTCAAATTTGATTTATGATCTCATTCCTTAAGGCAGTTGGTTTCTGATACAATGTTTCTGGCAGTAAGTCAATACATGTTCATTGAATTGCGTTGCATTTTATCAGTGCTATTTTTAAAGGTAGCAGGGGTTTCTGGTTGTTTTAAAGAGTTTTGCGTATTGTGTCTTTATTTTTCTCTTTCTGTACTGAAAAAGTCACATTTCCTTTAGTTTTGTGGGGTGGTAGGACTGTTTCTTTGCAGTTTCCATGCTAGTATAGTTTGAAGAGAAGAACCTGCCCATCTGTCATGGCAGAACACCTGTATGATTTAGAAGTGCAAATTCCTAATAATTCTGAGATGATTGTTTCAGCTTTCACCCTTCAGAAAGAAAATCTAGAAACCCTAGAAGCAATCAGCTTCTTGGCTGCTGAACTTGGCGTTCTTCCTTCAGACTTCAGTTACACTGGCATCAAAGATAAGAAGGCTATTACTTACCAAGCTATGGTTGTGAAGAAGGTGACTCCTGAGAGGTACTAACCATCTGGGCGCATTCCTTTTAGCACATATTTTTAGATATTGCTGAGTATCGACATGGTGCGATCTTCTGAAATGTTCTTATTGATGGGTCTTCCCTTGTCCTGTATTAGAATTTAAAGAAAGGTCTTGCCTTTCTCTGTATTTTTCATAATACGAATATACTATATCATCTGGGACAGTATCCTTCCAATTCATGCTCATAGGATCCACTTTACAATTTCTTAAATACCATCCACTAACTGGAACCAAGAAGAAGCCTATGCCACATGATGCAAGAGGTTTCGACATGCTGTCAAAGTATTGTCTTGTGGTCCACAGAAAACAGCTTAAAAGCTTTGTACAGCTACAAGACCAAAGTAAATCATTACAAATATACGTCGGACTGATGCTGTCTTTGAGTGTTAAGTGTCAACTTCTATTGTGTTGTCCAGTTTAGAAACATGAGACTAAGTAAAGAAGATATCACCAAACCTGAGGGCAGAAAATACGTTCTGAATAACGTGTCAGTAATAGAAGATGTGCCTTTCCATTCCTTGTTTTTCTTACTCTCTGTAGCCAACTCAGTGGGTAAAAAATATATAAGTTCTGCCATAGTAACAGTAAAAAATTGCTAGAGTCAAAACCATAACTTATTTTGTCCTCAGCTTTAACTTTGTAGTGGGTTTTGATCTTAGCAACAAAGTACACTTCGCAAATAAAAGAAAGTAGAATTTATATTTTTAGGATTTATTGCTAACATAAATATATATCAATAGTAAAATTCTACTGCAAACTGGGCTGTAAGGCCAGTTGTTCTAGAAATAATTAGCAAAAATTTGCATTAATGTTTAAATAAAGCAAAATAGTTAAAACAGTTAAATACTCC